GCCTCACCTGCCTCCCCTGACCGCACGTCACTGATATATGACATTTAAATATTAAACGTGTATTAATGCTGATAGGTTGGATATAATTACATTATTTATTATTTGGAAACCGTTAATAAATTTAAACAATTTTCTTTCTGAAACGAGTATTTTCAACTAAACTGTTGATGCATAGATTTGCTTTATTTTATTTTATTTTTAAAAATGTGTATATATATTAAGAATTACAGAAGAACTTTCGCTTTTCCATGGTCCACTCGACTTTCTGTAGTGACGTCAGCTCGTGGAACTTGTCACCCACAGTGGCAAGATGGCTATGGAACCAAATAAGACCGAAATCCTGACGATTTTCAAAAGATTGAGATCAATTCCCACAAACAAGGTAACGGCATTCGATGTCGTTGATCTGTGTTGTGTTGTTATTTGAGTTTACCTTTAACCGGCTGACGTTGGTTTAATTTATATATTTGGTTAGTAGCAGTTAGCATCTTCTGCTAAGCGGAGCTAACAGCAGCTAACAGCTAGCGGGCGCTAATGCTTTCCCATTGAAAACTACGGAGAACCGGAGTTAAAGGCAAACAGGAGCTAACAGCTGCTAGCCTGCCGGTCCCCGAGTCAAACCCAAAGGCCACGTAAACGGTTTGTGTTTCTCTGGAAGAAAACCTGTTAGCTTCGCTTCTTTGAAGCCTTGTCACCGGGAAAAACTTATCGGCTTTAATAGAATATTGTTTTTATCAGTCACAGAAAACAAATATGAATGGCAATATCGAGTTAATTCGCCGCATAGATCGCTTTGCTAACAGTTAAGTCAAGCTGTGTTACAGCTCTTAAAACCTCAGGTCGAAAGTTGTCACACATTTTTTATCAAAGCCATTTCATTTGTTCTTCTTCATCTGTATCTGTGATATTTCTTCATCCCAGTTCAACGCTTATAAACCACATATTGCTTCACTGAAACATGACCAGATGAAACAGAAATATGATGTTGCGTAAGTTAACTGTGATTGATCCTACAAAATATAATATATATTTTGGTCTACTCAAGGCCACATTCACCATTTGGAATACATTCATGCTGAGTCTGTGAGTTTTTAGCTAACTTTTTTTTAAAAATTACTTAAAAGGCTCGTTTTTGGCTGCTTGCAAAAACAGTTTTAGATTATAGTTATAGTTTGTTTGTTGTTTACTTACTGAAGTTTCTACTTTCAGGTATAATAACTATATAATCTGTGGTATTTGGTTTTAGACACGAGTTTAGATTTAAACCTTTTTCTACCTGGTAAAGGCCGTATGTCCTTCATAGATTAAAACCCTGACAGTGACTTGGAACCATGACAAATATTTTAAATCTGATAATTATAAGTTAGTTTGACAGACTCAGAGTTCTGTCAGCTTAGCAACTATTTTAGCAGGCAAAGGTGGAACAGCTGTTATTAATATAGTTTAAGAGATAAAAGTTTCTCGTGGTGCACCAATCTGTTGGTTAGTGTAAACTTAAACATTTCTGTTCATCGAAAGCATCAAAGCAGAACACTTCCAGCTTTTGAGTCGCTAATCAAATGTAAAAAGTATGTTGTTTAATTAACTTTGTTTATTACAATAAGATGTAACTTAGGATGATACATAAATGGAGATAATCTTGCAATTTGAGAAAGGAAAAATAAACTGAATCTGACCTCAACATGTCGCTCATCAAGCCATTTATGTCACTCACTGTGTTGGTAGTTTCGTAACATGTTTCTAAATGTTTCTACCATCAGTCTGTAAAATCAGATACATCATCAGTCTGTGAGGAACAAAAACTGTCTGACCCTAATGAGCGACTTAACATCTTGATCCACGTGAGAAATTGTTCTTGAAGTTGACGCTTCTGGTTTGTTTGCTACTTTCAAAGATCTTCTATTGTCTGCTAGGCTAGGACGTTTATTTCTGTTCACTGAATCCGGTTTGACTTGTTCTCACAGGAATCTTAAATTATTTAGGAATGAGTCAGTCACATTGATGAAGACATTCCACAAATACTGATGCTGAATTTCTCATCACTCAGATGTTTGACATTGAGGTGGATTCAGCTCAGAGTAGAAACTGGTTTCGTTTAGCATCTATTCCCCCAACCACAGGCTGAGAAGCTGAACTTTGTGTTTTATTACTTAAATTCCTGAATCGTTACTCTGCATTTGTTACTGAGCCTGGTGGGTTCTGCTGTGAAAGGGCAACGTTCATTCCCACTGTCACCACATGCATGTTCAGGAGGGTCAGTGAATCCATGAAACAAACTGGTTTTTGTTAACATTTTACTAAATAGCATAATAGACACAACAAAACTGTAAAGCATTATAACCAAGATAAAGTGAAGAAACTGGTGATGTATTTCTGTTTTTCTGCAGATGACTTTGTTCTGAGCCAGAACTACGTAAATAAACTGTATTAAAGTTACATTAATATAGTAAAAAATATGTATGTATTTTTATCATTTGATGTACAAATCATCAAATAATTTTTGGTCTGTCTACAATCTCTCTCATTTCATCCAGAAAACCTTTGAATATGTTTGCAGGTTTATCTATCTTGTAGTTTGAAAATATGCCTAAAATGATGATAATATGGTTAAAAAAAAACTCACTGGGATAATAAATGAACTCAGTGAATAATAACTAGGGCTGTAGGATAATATCGATATCACGATATATATCGATATTTTCTTTCCTAGAAAAAAATCGATATTCATCCGCAAGTATCGTAACATCCAACTGTCATCTTGCTCCCTCCCTGCTTGCTTCGCCGGGAGAGTGATTAGGTCATCAGGCTTAGAGTGATTCCTTCAGAAGTTAAGTGTCAAGATTAAAAAGGTATCAAACTATTCAGAGCAGGTACTTGGTGCACTTTGTTTACTTTACAAATGTATGTAAGCTACAGTTTGTACTGTTTCAATTAAAAGAAACATGTTTTCTGATTCATTTTGTCCAGCTGTCGACTTTAAGTCTGTGTCCATGTCCAACCAGAGCCAGGTAAAGTGTAGTTGGTGCTTTTAATCAGTTTTCAGTTAAATTAATTCAATCCAACTCTATAGCGGTCACTCTGTCCCTCTAAAATCTTTCAGAAAATCGCAAAAGTGTATTGAATTTTATCGTCTGATAAATATCGCAATATGTATCGTATCGTGGACAGAATATCGTGTATCGTATCGTAAGATTACTGTATCACTACAGCCCTAATAATAACACATCAAATGTGAGGACTGGACTCTGCTTGACTTTCTCAAACTAAAACATTGAAAAGAACAAAGTAAATGGACAAAAATTACAGAAATTATTTTTTCTATTTATTATTTTTGGTTGTCATGTTTTATTTTGGGTATTTAATGTCGTTCAGTTCCAGTGTAAAGTTTATTGGTCTTTGATCTGATCAGATACATAATCATTTTACCAATAGCTCTTAAGAGACAAAATTAAGTAAAACTAACTTATTACAAAAATCTGAGCGATTCAGGAGTGGATTAAATTACCTAAAGACTTTACATTAAAAAGTACATTCTTTTAAAAAAGCACTGAAATCTTATTTTTATTAAATATTATTTTTTTTAAATCTAGCTTTATGTATGTAATTTGTCAAATATGATGTCTGATTAATCTTGTAATGTCATCATTAATGTCAAAGTGGTCTATATGTGGTTTGAATATTTTTGTGTTTTGGACTCATGGAAGATTAATAACCACTTTATCTAAACTAACAGCATTTCTAACAAATAAGCAAATCAGTATATTACTTGAAAATGGTATCAAAACAACAATATCATTTCTGGGTTGATTTATCGTCCAGCAGAATTTGTTGTAGTGACAGACCTGACCAAACGTCACCATTTAAATGTTCTTGTTGTTTTCTGTTTGACTGACTGGTGAATTTTCCTCTGTGAATGTTGGACGTTGGGCACCTTTATTAGATTACATTTGTTGCCATTTCTCAGTGCTTTCAGCAGGACAACGGGATGAATTTGTGTTTTCTGTGCAGGCTTGCTTTGACTGCGCTGCCAAAAACCCGAGCTGGGCCAGCATCTCGTACGGCGTGTTCCTGTGCATCGACTGCTCCGGCATCCACCGCTCGCTGGGCGTCCACCTCAGCTTCATCAGGTCGGCCTCTGACCGCCACAGCTCAGCAGCTTCAGCGTGTAAACGCCGATGATTGGCTTGAGTCTGACACACGCTTCATTTCTCCTCAGATCCACAGAGTTAGACTCCAACTGGAACTGGTTCCAGCTCAGATGCATGCAGGTCGGAGGGAACGCCAACGCGGTAAGTTCGCTGCTCGGAGGTCAGCTGATGTTTGGCCTACTGGCGCCATGGTAACGCTTTCCGTTTCCTCCTGAAGACGGCCTTCTTCCGTCAGCACGGCTGCTCCACCAACGACACCAACGCCAAGTACAACAGCCGCGCAGCCCAGATGTACCGGGAGAAGATCCGGCAGCTGGCTAACGCGGCGCTGTCAAAGTACGGCACCGAGGTGAGAACCAAGATGGCCGGGGCTAAATCTGACCTTGTAGAGAAATCCAAACAAACATCAGATCTGCTGGCAATGCAGAGAAGAAGCAGCCTTCATCTCCTTCTGTCTGCTTATACAACCTGAGCTAACAGGATCTTTGACTTGTTACAAAATGCTGATAAAGACATTTATTAGTGTGTGTGTGTGTGTGTGTGTGTGTGTGTGGCAGCTATGCACATCCTGTCCAGAGTACACAGGGTGTGTAATCCCTACAGTAACATAATAAACACATCTTTAACATTAGAATAAAAAGAAAAGTGAGTAATAAACTGCTGCTGCCGTTGCAGCTGTGGATCGATTCGTCTGCAGGAGGAACGACTACTGCTGCCGAGAAGAAGGACGACGACGACTTCTTCGCTGAACATTCACAGGTTCCCCTTGTTCCTAACTTTATTTCACATTTAATAATAGTAACAATAACAATGATAATAATACACTATATTTAAAAATCTAGTTTCAAATGTATTAGACTGAATTTGGGAAGCTGATATGAGGATTTGAGAATAAATGATGAATAAAAACATTTTTAATCATCTGTAAACAGAATACACTAGAGCTGAAAATACTATGAACATATGCAACTGCAATATTATTCAGTTCCTTCAGGATTTATTGTTTTTGCCAATCAAAATCAATGATTTTGTGGCGCTACTTTATATCTGCAAGAAATATAATATTTTTTCTTTATGAAATCTACATATAGAAAAAAGATGAAAGGAAAATCAAGCAGACTGGACACAAAAAATATATTTATTTTTTAAAAGAACTTAAATAGCTCAATTTTTGCAGCGATCTGTTGAATTTACGTGAATTTCCACGATCGCAGAATTACGAGAAGCTAGAGAAACTAGTTATTGTTTGTCTAGTTATTGTTTGTCTAGTTCAGTTGTAGTTAAATTGCCAGCTCTCTCCAATCAGCCTGGCCATCTGTGAATCAGCTGTTTCAGTCAGAGTCCATCCAGCTGACCCCGAACAGCCCAGCAGGCGGCTGCAGTGATTATTGCGGTTAAAGCTTCAGTGAACAACATGCTACATCATTAGCCTGTCAGACGGGTTGGAACTGAATCGTTTAGCACATCTGTGCATCTCTTTATTCATCAGCAGCCATTCTTTTCTTCTCTCTGTTCAGTTTTCTAATGAGTGGAGCATAGCGCCCCCTGCAGAGCAGAACGGAGCCGCCAGTTCCCCCCAGCTGACCGACTCGGCGCCTAAAGCCCAGGATGACGGCCGTAAGTGAAGCGCAGCAGTCGGAGTGTTTACCTTGACGGTTCCTGCTGCTGATGCAGAAGTTCGTGTTTATCCTCTGTGTTTAATCCCAGGATTTAACCGGATTACAGGAGATGAAGCAGGAATATCAGAAAAACAAGCAGCACTAAGCTTTTAACAAACACACAAACCTTTAGTTTCACATTAACCTACATGTTTAATCGCAGGGTGGAAACACAAGCAGGAGCTTCTGCTCTCTCAACTTTCATGAAGTTTTCAGTTCAGATGAGTTAAAATTCTGCTTGTTTGACTCAAAACATAAAACAGAAAAAATAATTTTTCAGTCACTTTATTTTTGTAATAGCAACTAACTGTAGTTAGTTAATATAGTTCTTAATCTTTAATGCTAAATGTTTGTATTTTGTAGTTTTGTCTTAATTACAGTTCTGAATATGTTGGGTTTTTTCAGGAAATGGTCTTTTTGAGTCTATTTTCTCCAGTTAAGAATTAATTGATTACTAAATTAGTTCATGATTATTTCAATAGTCCTCATCATGATTAACTGATTCTGCCCTAAAGTGTCATTTTCCTCTATTCTCTCATATTTTCATACATTCTGCATGTCAACAGTCACACATACATGTTCACTTCTTTGTTAGACGACGATAAATATACAAAAATACTGGAATCGAGTCAAAGCAAACGGACGTTGATCCATCTGTGAAGAATCTTTCTTCATATGCAGTTAGACATGGAGTCGTTACTTTGACTGGACCTCTTTAATGTCGCTGTAGACAGTGGATTCCTATGTCTTCTCCTGTTATGTTTATGACTGTATATTATCAGTGCAGTCAGTTTGGATGTGAGTGTTTCTTTTTGTTTCAGTCGTGTTTAATCCGTCCTGTTTCAGAACCAGAGGACGGGCCGAGCATCGACGGCCTGAGCACGTCGCCCAAAGCCTCCATTGGTGAGTAAATCCTCATATCATCTGATTTAATGCTTCAGAAGTTCAGAGCTTCTCCCAGTTTCTGAGCCAGAAAGTTTCAGGTGAAAACTCTCTGGGAACCTTCTGGTTGGTGTTAAAATATGATTCTATGTTTGAGAAAAACTCTGTGACACTGAAAACCAGACACTTTCCTAAGTCAACACACAACTGGTTCATCTTTTGAGTTTAGGATGAAATAAATCTTAAATAATATTTATTATAACATGTTCAGGTTCTGGACTGGACAAGTGAGAAGGAAACTGTGAGAAAGCCTGAAACGGCCTCATCAGGACGCGATTCTTCTTTTTATTAAACCTTTTTATAAACAGGATGAAACTTAATGACATCAAAGATCTGTTTTAGTAAAAGTTCCTGGCAATCACACAGTTAAAACTGTTGTTATATAATATAGTTATATTAACAACTGGCTGCTGGGAAAACAGGGAAACCATCATACTGCTGCAGCCAACCATTATTTCAGTCATCAATTATTCTGACTTGGACAAAAATATTCCACATTTTGCAAATTTTTCATTTAACCACTTTGGATTTTTAAAAAAGACATTAAAAGATGCAAACAAGCAAGTAATTCTATTTTTTTTTCTTTTTCAATAAGCATTTCATTGCCTGAAATGCAATAACTGCATTCCTTTAGTGAACGTTTGATCATTTGTAGCATCTGTAGTTAAAAATCCTGACTATGAAAAGGTTGGTTTTTATCTTAAGTCCAAAATGTTGATATATTTTGTGGAGTTTTTGTTTAACTGCTGCTCTGTGTACTCCAGGTAATGAGTAGATAAACCACTAAGTTAGCTGATGATTATTTCAATAATCAATTAATCAGTTCAGCTGTAACACATTTAGCAGAAGTTTCCATTTTATTGATTAAATCCCATCAGAGTCAGGTTGGAGCTTTTATCTGAGCTCAGATGTTCCTGTTTGCTGAGTCTCCTCTGTCTGTGCTGTAACGATGGATCTGTCGGCCATCTTGTACCGTAGCGGACTCCATGCGTTTGTCCCCGCAGAGCGGCCCGCCGGCTGCAGGTGAAGGTTTGCTGCTTGGCGTTTCAGCCTCCATGCTGCCGTGTGGCCAGATGTTTGTTTCTTCCCGACCAGAACATCTTAACCCGGCTGCTTTGTGTGTTAGAAACGGCTTTGTGCCTCTGGCCTTTGTGTGGGTAATAATCGGTTTTCTGCTTGAAGCTTTTCAAAAGGAGCATTTTGACAGAAACCCGCCGCCTTAATGACACAAACAATCCCCGCTGTGACAGCTGATTGGCTCAGTTAAATTCCTTCTCCTCGTCTCGCTGGTTCCCATGAAGTTACAGGAGACGGAGGAGACGACCTCAGCTGACCTCTTACTGCCGCTCTTGCACAATTAACTGAATTAAAGAAGCATCTGCAGCTAAAGCGATGAAAACATGCTGAGACGTTCTGCTGTGTTGCAGATGTGAAGCCGTCCATCATTGGGAAGAAGAAACCCATGGCTGCTAAAAAAGGGGTGAGGATCAAACACTAGATTATGATTTTAGATTTATTTATTTTCCATAAACAAGACAATGCATATCAATCAACATGAACGAATCACAAGAGGCTAATTTTCATCTGTAGCAGGTCAGAGGAAGAGAACAAAAGTTACAAGCATAACAACACCTCACTACTGTAAGAAAAAAAAAACAGTAAATTTAAAAATTATTCAAAACATGACTACAGTTTTTATTGATTTCCTAAACAGTTCAAAGATGTAATAGTTTATTTTTGTAAGTTATAAAATCTCTACTTCATCCTGCTACTGTGACTTTGTTATATTCTCAGTTTATTCTCATATTGTTTTGACTTTGGAAACTTTTTTTCTCATAATACATTTTGTCATATTTTGAGTATATTTCTGAATTGTGACACCAGGATCTTATTCTGTTCTTTTTTCTTTAAAATATTTTTTATTCTTGGCCTGGCCCTGGTACTCTGTCGTAACAAATACAGGAAATAGAATCAAAAGTAAAAATGATGAATGAAGTCATCCAGACCACTAGGCGGAGTCTGGAGTCTGTAATATTACCAACGTAAATATGCTGATCCTCTACAGTGTAAAAACTTGTGTTTGAAATGGAGACGGAGTGTAACTCACTTTTTTTTTTCCTCCAACTTTCTCTTTGACGTGCTGTCTTTACTGCGGGTCCGATCCCAGATGGGTCCCCCTAGTGGTCTGGAGGACTTCTGTTTAGTGAATGAAGCGTTTTAAACTTGCTGCTGTTTTTGTTTTTCCTTTTACTTCTATTTCCTGTGGTTGCAACATTTTCTCTTTTCATTTTTTTTGTTTGTTTTCTTGGAACTTTTTTGTTTGCAGTTTTTCTGTTGCATCGTTTGTGTTGTGTCTCGTTTATGTTTTTTGCAGCACATTTCTCTGTCAGCTCCTTGATCAGTTATTTACTGAAGTCAGATAAACGGCTGAATCATGAGGATCAGGGCTGCTGTAACTTTATCGTTCTGCATAAAACTGTAAATGTGCCTCAGTTCCTTTCAAGTCTGTAACTTTTCCACAGTTTTTTCAACCACCAACTTGAGTGAATTGTGTTGGGATTTTATGTGAGGAACCAAAATTATGAAGTGGAGTAAAAAATGATTCAAGACTTTCCTTTTCTACAAATGTAAATCTGATTAGTGCGGTGTGCATCTGTTGCTGCAGCTCGGAGCAAAGAAAGGTCTGGGTGCGCAGAAGGTGAGCAGCAAAAGCTTCTCTGAGGTGGAGAAGCAGGCGCAGGTGGCCGAGAAGCTGAGGGAGGAGCAGGTGGCCGAGGCCAAGAAGCAAGCCGAGGAGTCCATGTGAGGAAGCCGCTCCCGCTTCCTGTCGCCGGTAAGTCAGGCGGCGCAGACGTGTGACGGCGCTGCGTTTCCGCTGCAGAGTGGCGTCCATGCGGCTGGCCTACCAGGAGCTGCAGATCGACAGGAAGATGGAGGAGAAGAAGCTGCAGAACCTGGAGGGGAAGAAGAGGGAGCAGGCGGAGCGGCTGGGGATGGGCTTCGGCGGCCGCAGGTAACCGCTCCGGTCCGGTCCGGGTTCTGCTCGAGTCTGTGCCGGTGTTCTGGACTGAAACGTGACTCTGGTTTCCTGTCGCAGCGTCGTGTCTCACTCCGTGATGTCAGAGATGCAGGTGATCGAGCAGGAAACGCCGGCGGGAGCCAAGACGTCGTCCCGCTCCAAACTGGACCTGTTTGACGAGCCGGGATTCACCTCCGGACCCCCAAAGTACGACACACACACACACACACAGAGACACACACGTTTGTCTGGCTATCTTTGTGGGGACTTTCCATTGACTTCTATTCATTTCTACAGCCTAAACCTGGCCTTTACCCTTTTCCTAACCCTAACCATCCAAAACTCAATTCATACCTTAGGCCTAAATCTGACCCCTGACCCAAAAACAGGGTTTCCCCTTGTGGGGACCAGGCTCCGGTCCCCACAATGTAGTATGTGTCAGGAAAATCGTCCCCACAAGGTATTACAAACACACACACAGAGACACACACAGAGACATACAGACACACACACACACACACACACAGACACACACCTGCCCTTTCCTCACATATTTTCATAGTTTTTTACTGTTTGGTATTTATTCCACTAAATGATGAAATTGAAGACAACAGACAAAATAATTACGATCAGGTTTATTTAGGTATTTTATGTGGTTTCTGTTATTAATATATAGTCATTATAGACTCAGATTCTTCTGTGATTTTTCATATATTCATATATTCATATATTGGTTAATTTCAATAATTAACCAACGTGTTGGAAATTAGAGATCCATTTTTCACTTCAGATGCTAATATCTGAGGTTTGGTGTCGATCCAAAACTCATAAACAGCTGAATTGACTCAAAACGTTTTATTTTTAACACAGACATGAATGAACTGAATTATAAATGTATTTGATGATGGAGCACAAATTCAACTTGGTCAAACTTGTAAAAACAACTTTACTTTGTTCAGTTTGTGCAGTTAGTTACACAGATAATAAACTGAAACTGACAAAAAATAAACTGCAACAAGCAAAAAGTTCAGTTAGGAATAATAAACATAAAATAAAAAGTATAACGTCAGCCAGAGCACAACACATAGAACTAGGCTGAGTAGATCTGTCATTATGGATCGGCCACCGATCGAATCCAGTTTGATATTTTGAAACAATCTTGAGAAAAAAAGATTTTGGATAAAATGTTTTGGTGCTAGCAAGGTGTTTTTTTTTGTTTTGTATTGAAATTGGTTTATTTTGTAAAACTGCAATGGAAGCATTTTTTCTGCGTCACATGATCAACAAGCAGACGAAGAAGAAACCAGGAGAACGACGGTGGAGAATGTTTTTAATGATTTATGGTGTGAACAAACTTATTCACGTGATTTTAATTATATTTCTTATTTGATGGAAGCAGAAAACTCGGTTCTTTCTACATTAGTTTTGTTCATATTCATATCAGAAATGCAGCTCATGTCGGTCTGGAATTGTTTTGGGATCGATCCAGATATTAGTATTGGATCGGTGTATTTCTAATCAGAACCGGCTGAGCAGCGTGTTCTGACCCGTTCTGCTCTCCAGGTATAAGGACAACCCGTTCATGGTGGGAGACGGGTTTGGGTCGCGGTGGGACGCCGACGGCGGCACCGCCTCGTTCACCACCGCCTGGGCTCTGGAGAAGGACGAGCCCAAGGAGGAAGTCACCATCTCCAGCATCCAGCCAATCGGAGAGAGGTATCCACTCATCCTCACGCAGCCTGACTCTCTGGATCGGCTCCGGTTCTGATGCTGCTTCTCCTTCTGGGTTCAGGCTGCCCAGCCGGAGGAAAGCCGAAGCGTCGTCCGCCGGGTCGGAGTCCAGCGAGGCCAGGCAGAAGTTCGCTAACGCCAAGGCCATCTCCTCCGACATGTTCTTCGGTCGAGAGAGCAACGCCGAGGTGAGCGGCCGTTTGGACCGGACCCGTTCTGATGAAGCGGAACCCGTCAGCTAACTGTGTCCTTCCTGTCAGTACGAGGCCAAGACGAAGCTGGAGAGTCTGTCAGGCAGCAGCTCCATCAGCTCCGCCGATCTGTTCGGAGACGGCAGCGACAGCAGAGGTGAGACCCGGAGATCAACCCAACGCCGTTCAGGTTGGCCCGACTGACGCCGCTGCGTTCAGGAGGCGACGACCCGACTGACGCCGCTGCGTTCAGGAGGCGACGACCCGACTGACGCCGCTGCGTTCAGGAGGCGACGACCCGACTGACGCCGCTGCGTTCAGGAGGCGACGACCCGACTGACGCCCCTGCGTTCAGGAGGCGACGACCCGACTGACGCCGCTGCGTTCAGCAGGCGACGACCCGACTGACGCCGCTGCGTTCAGGAGCCGACGACCCGACTGACGCCGCTGCGTTCGGGAGCCGACGACCCGACTGACGCCGCTGCGTTCAGGAACAAGCAACCTGAGTAATGCTGTTAGTCGGGTCGCGTTGGGGTCGGAAGCCGTTCACACAGAAGTCTGATTTAATTAGAAGTCTGTGTGAACGAAGCCAAAATGTCTCCAGGCACCAGTTAACCTGCAGTCGACCCGGTTACTGATCCCACAGGAAGTTGCAGGAAACCAGAGATCCGGCCTCCGGCTCTTTCCAACAACCTGTTATTGCCTCTGCCATAGTTACATATTGTAGATTTTCTCTTTGTAAAATTCATGTTTCCTTTCAAAAATAGGAAATCCTTTTAATTTGCTCCAACTGAGTTCTGGTTAAAAATATTGGTTTTAGCCGGTTGAATCCCAATTGGTAAAATAGGATATAGTACATGGTAAATGTTTACAATAAGGTAATAAGGCATTTTTAGGAATAGCTCAGATTTTATCATGTGAGCCTGGGGCCAACATTGATTCTGATTAATTTTTATTTATTTGTACAAAGATGGAAATAAGTAGATTTTTAAGTCATCAGAAGAAAACAGACCCAGATCTGTCTCTTTTGTCTTAATTCATGATAAATTAAGACTAAAAAAAGACACAATATTGTCAATTTTTATTAATTTCACATAAATACAGCTGAAGTTCTGAGAATACAGATAAAAAGTCTCGTCTAACAGGAGGGATACAAAACGACATTATGGGAAGAAATTTTCCTTCCAACTGATTTTAACATTCATTCGTTTCTAAAGTCTTCAGCAAACGTGTCAGTGAGATGCTAATGCTAGCTGGCTAGCTTCCTGTGTGTTTTGATAGGACGTTGATCTGATTCATTTTTGGTTGGCTGTCCGCAGAAAGAACAGTTCTCCTGATTCTGGAACTGAATGTTTTTAACTTGATCTTCTGGTACCAGTTCCAGCTGTAGTCGGTCCAAACGGTGTAACAGCACAGAAATCGTCCCTGCTCCGATCAGTCTCCGATCGGCTAACAGGGACTACTTTCAGCGGCGGACTCAGCTCTGTGCTTCCTCCCGCAGGCCGGGTTTCGGGTTTAGACAGCGTTCTTCCCTCCGGCCCGGACATGGCCCAGTTCAAGCAGGGGGTGAAAACCGTGGCGGGGAAGATGGCCGTCCTCGCCAACGGTGTGATGAACACCATCCAGGTGAGTCATGCGGCGCTTCGCTAGCATCTCCATCGCTGTTCTTCTTCTCCTCACTGAGACTGGCCTTGTTTCCCAGGACCGCTACGGGTCGTACTGAGCCGCGCCGGCAGAACCATCCGGCATCGCTCCAAACGGACGTGCGCGTTTGGGGCGAGGAGACGGGCGAGACGCGGGAAGGCTTGCATGGGAAAGACGGCGTCCCCCGTCCTGTCCTCCACTAGAGACAGTATTTCTTCCCTCATTAGCAGAATCTTGACTTTTATTTTCATAAACCATCAGAAAGTATCGAATCTTTTCTAAAACAGCCGTTTTTCTGCCCACAACCTGCTGGTCGTAGATTTTCAACCTGAGGACTTAAATCTTTATTTCTTTATCCAGAAATTAATGTGATTTTGATTCATAACATTTAAAGTTTTTGTTTTATTGTGATATTGAAAACAAGGCGCCGTGTTTTCTTCATAAATCCATCATGTTTAAAAGCTGCTGACTTTCAGTTGAGTTGGGTTGTTTTTCTTCTGTAAGAAGCACTGATTTCAGATCAGTCCTGAGCCGACAGCCGAGCAGTACGGAGACAAATCAGGGCCAGAAAGTTTGTTGAAAAAATAAAATAAAATGAACGAGAAGTTTTGAACTTCCACCAGTTTCAAAGTAATTCTTTTAGTTTAAAATCTTGTTTTAATTTTTTTTTTGGTTGAAATAAATTTAGTTAAAAAAAAATGTTCCCAATTAATTATTTTCAGTTTCCAAATTAATTTTCCAGTTTCAGATCTTTCTTTTTCAGTAACTTTTTATTTTAAATATTTTTCAGTTAAAAATAGATATTTCTGTTCCAGTTTTTAAATTATATTCCTTTTTTTTAAGCAGGTTTATGGCCCTTATTTAGCTCCATACAGCATCTCTGACCTCTGCTGACAAACAGCTTAGCCCTGATGCAAACCTCTGGGTTGGCCCAGCAGAGGTCAGAGGTCACAGCTCATGGATGGTGGATCTGACTATGCATCCTGACTGTCTGAACCTCAAGTCTGCTATAAATTACCTCAGATTCAGTTTTTAGTTTTAAATCTAAAACCTCTCAGATTGTTTCTGTTTCAGAAACGGTTCGATGAGATGAACCCGGACCGGGTCGCTGAACCGGGCCGCCGGGTCCTGAGCAGACTCGACGTTCAGCAGATGTTTGTTTTCTTTGCCCCGATAGAATCCAATCACATGTGGACTGAAAGGATCAAGATATTTATTTGTAGGCTACAAACAGAACCGTATCCAGTATGTTAATAAAGATGGAAAACCCTCAGAGTTTCTCGTTTCTCTTCACAGCTGCAATTTTATTTCTGCAGGGAAAGAATTCACATTAGAGTTTTCTATGGTTGGAGGAGGAGCAGCGGTTCTGGGGAAGCGTCGCTGCTCTCCGAACTGCAGGACGGAGCGAATCCGTGCGGTCCGGCCACAAATCATCCGACGCTGTCACCGTGGCGACGCAGCGTAAATCACAGGCTGCAGGAATGGAGAAATGCCGCGTGCCCGACCGCTTCGCTGTTCGCCAAACCGGATCAGAAACACAACTTCAATCTGAGCAAAGTGCGGAATTGAATGTCTCCGTTTCCAGTGGGAATGTTAGTCCAGCTTCCAGTCGGATCCATGGAGGCTTATCCCCAGTTGTAGAAGTAGATCTTCTGCCAGGTGGGGAGGTATTCCATCAGAGGGCCTGAAAACACGCAGAGACGGGTTCAGATGTTTCTCTGAAGCAAAACGACCCAAAGAACAAAACCAGGAATCACCAGCATCCATCTGCTCTCCCTGGAGTTACCGCATCAAACCCTGCAAATATTCATCGAACACGGGAATAAACTAGTATTACCAGAACAAGTCAGTGTTGCAAGAAAAAAGTCAAAATAATGAAATAAATACAAAATAATGCAAGAAAAAATTTGTAATATGCGAATAAACTCGTATTACCAGATTAAAGTTGTAGCATCAGTAGAAAGTAGTAATTTTATCTCCTATGCAAAGAAAAATAAAATGAGAATGTTTGGTAAAAGTTTTGCAGAAGGTGCCAAAAAATTCATCCTTTAATATCGGCATCAGATTCTCAGCAGCAGAACTTTGAAACTTTTGAGTTTGTTCAGCATAAAGGTCCATGAACCGACTCAGCTGACAACATTGAGTCTTTAATCTTCTCATTTTATGACTTTATTTTTGTAATTTCAACAACAAAAAATTCTCAGTCTGACCCTCGTACGTCCGGTTTTAGTCTCGTTTTGATTGAAAAGTCTCATCGGGACCCGACTGCGGTACTTACGCGCCACGAGTCCGATTCCCGGAACGTGATCTGCCAGAAGTCTGAGCAGGAAAATAATCTTTTCCCTGCAGACAAAATGGGAAAAACACAAATCAGGTTTTCACTTCACTGAAGAAAAATGATTTTATGATAAATTGAATTGTGGATTTTGTTGGATCTCATCTTTTTTTTTTTAACTGAAGAGTTGATTTTCACTAATCTGGGTGTTTAGTTGGGTCCGGAGGTCGTGTTTGACTCACTCTGAGTATTTGTCGTAGAACGGCGAGCGCAGCAGGTAGTAGCACAACAGGAAGGCCCGCCTCTTCATCTCGGCTTTCTCCCATCGGTTCTCCAGCTTGGCGTCGCTCAGGACGGCGAAGCTGCAGAAACCACAGGAACCAGTGAAACGCTTCCACACACACTCCGGAGGGGGAGTCGCTCTGCGATCCTGCAGTGAGGCAAACTCACTTATATGGAACTAAATCAGGGCCAAAATGTATGTTTAAAATATTTTATATGAAAAGTAGTTTGGGACTTCTTTTAGTGTATTTTTTTTCCACTTGCAAATCCTTTTTTTTTTTTTTCAGTTTAGTTTCAAATCCCTTTTCCACCAATTGCAAATCTGTTTTTACCCAGTCTCCTGTTAATTTAATATTTTTTTCCAGTTTTTTTTTGAGGGGGAAAAACTTTATGGCCTCAATTTAGCTCCATAGAGCTGATTATTTATCTCAAGATAAATCGGTTTGAGCTTCGATTTACTGATAAAACATTTCAACAGGAAAAAAACAATCATCTCATTAAATTTTTCCGTTTTTCACCTTATTGAAGATAAAATCGTGTTTTCTGAAAGATTTGATCAAATTCACATGAAGAAATAAGAACAAAAGCCTAAAAATATGAATTAACAGAAACATCATTAAAGAAACGGCAGCATCCAGGATTATCCTCTAGACTAGCTTTAGCCAGGAGGAAGTTATTGGAGCAGTTTGTTTACCTGGAAAGCTCCAGGGCGGCGGAGACGAGCCACGGCTTCCACGACCGCTTCCCACAAACTCCGAGACACAGGACTGTCATCCGGAAAACTCAAGGAAAACACCAGCTACTTCTCACTTAATAATAATAACTCAGGTGATAAAATCTGGTGGAAGGACGACAGACATCGAGGATCCTCCTGCATAACTTCTTGTTCACATAAAGCTTCAGCTGAAACCTGTTGAACCACTAACTCTTTTAGCAGCAGCAGACAGAGCCAGCTCCCTCTAGTGGTGTAATGGAGCGGTGCAGCTTCAAACAGGATCTGCTTTCAGTCGGTGGAAGGATACGGTGAACCAGCGGCCGGCTGACGTAAACCGACTCGGCCAGCGTCTCCTGGAAGCTGAGCTCGGTTGGCGGGCGGCTCTCCTTCAGGCTGCTCCTCCTCTTCCTCGCCGGCGCTGCCGCGCCCCACAGCCGGCTCTGCAGGGGCGGAGCTACAACATGCAGATTTCATGTTACTCTGAAATCTCTCCTGAAACTTTCCTTTAGTCTGAAACGACTAATTCCTGTTCTGACACATTTAACCTGAACCTGAAATTATGAGGGAGACGATGCTGCTGGTTGCCATGGTGATTCCCACCTTTTCTGGGGAGTTTGGTTAATAATTTATGCCTCAAACAAACATAAAAACCAGGAAACTTTTCCAGATTATTTTGCATTTTAGTCTGTAGTTACATTTTATGAATGTAAAAATGTATCTATAGAAGCAACCAGTTATGGTTGCTTCTCATCCCATAACTGAGCTATTATGGGATGAGAAGCAACCAAACAACGTGACAGAAATAAAAAGTTAAAGTGAAGACGTTGGAAAAGAGGAAACCTCCGGATCCCAACATGTGGATCATTTTTATCTTTACGGCGTTTTTAGGCCTTCATTAAAAGTTTCTCACCGCTGCCCAGAGGTCTGATTACACGGCCTGACCTTTGACCCACAAAGCAGGCATCATCCTCGCCGCTGGGGTCGTCTGTGGAGGAAAACACCTCGATCAGACAACATTTACCCTGCAGGAGTCCCACTGGGCTGTGTTCTCAAACCTGCTCCATTTTAAAATGATTACAAACAACGAAGGATAAAAACATTCACAAAAACACAGAAGAAACATTTTTGTTGGTTTTCTTATAAGCAGTGATAAAAAACGTAAATAAGTCTGACCTTCAGAGACATATTCAGAGCCTCTGTCCAGGGGGATTATGGGAGGTGAAGTCTGCAGGCCGGATTTATACAGCAGAAGAAGAACGAGACGAAAAGCAGCTCTGGAACAGAAATACTGCAGCTTTAAGAGCAAAATGACGATATTCTTTCTTATGTTTGATTTATTTGTTCATATTTTATTTATATATAGAAAATGCCCACTATCTTTATTTTCATTATATTATTTTTATTTATTTTATATTTAAAAAATGCCAATCCTTTAACTTACTACCATTTGATTTCTTTATATAAAAACACATTTTCTTTTTATTATTTTGTTTTACTTAATTTATTTTCATTTAGTTTATTATTTTATTCATTTTTATGCAAAAATGCCAATTTTATTTTTCTTATTTTTTTAGTACCATTTTATTTTTTATTGGATTTATTTTCATGGGGAAATGCTGATTGTATTTATTTCATACGGAGGCCTCTAGCGGACAAGAATGTTCCTGTTTTCTTTTGCGTTCCTTCTCAATAACGTACTGATCAGTTCATGCAGCATAATTGATCCTGTAAGTCTGTCTAACGGAGGCCTTCCTGCTATTATATGAGGTAATGTGAGGTTTTTCCATGAATGTTATTATGTCGTTGTGAAATATCTGAAGTTTTATACCTTTTTCTTTGGTATAGAAATGAACCTCAGACGTACGACATAAACAGAAACTTTTGGTAAGAAAGAAAGAAAAAAATACATCCAAATTATTTGGACTATTTCTGAGTTATTATCATCTGGTAATAAATGATCCGACAGTTTTGACTGATTCTTTTGTTTTGGTCTGAATGGTTTAAAGGCCGTTTCCATCTCAGCCTGACACAGTCAGACATAAACCAAATAGTTTAGAATAATAAACACTGAGGCTCTTTAAATGTGTGAATATTTGAAATTTTAGACTGACATTTGTGACTGTTTACAAAATAGCCCAGCAGACCAGCATGGTCCCCTATGAAGCTAATAATTTCATTCTACTGATATTTGATTTAATTTTTAGAGAAAAATTCAAATTCTGCTTTTATTCTCGTTTACAATTTTTACTATAGTTTTATTTTTTTAATTAAAAATGCCAGTTTTCCTTCATCTGTAACAACCATCTTCCTGCCTCCTGATTACAGTAAAATTTACAGGAATTCTTCAACATTTTAATAGTTTTAATGCTGATAGTAGAGAATTAAGAGGTTTTTACTTGAAAATCTGGATGAGTGCGATGACCAGCCAGCGGCCCGCCTCTCCCCACAGCTTCCCGGCTCCCATCTCCAGGAAAACCTCCACATATTCCAGGACTGACAGCCAGGTGAGGAGTCTCTGCTGGGACAGAGGCTGGACAGGCAGCAGGAGGGAAAAGGTCATAAAAAGTTACATTTTAATCTGCCTGATGGTCAGGAAATGATGAAAACTCAGCAGGAAGGTGAATTACAGCCGAGCTCACCACGGAGAAGGCACATCGCAGGCCTTTACGCAGGATGCTGTCGTTGAACAGGACCAGCAGGTTGGAGGCAGAATAGACTGAAAATATGACGGAAAACAAAGATTATAGAGAAAAACTGTCCTGACCAATCAGGAGCAAATTCATGGACTCCAAAGCACCGAATGAAAGATTTTTTACCGTCTGACATAAACGAGGTTTATGATTGGTTCAGGAAAAACAACATTTCCAGCAGAACATTTGAAAAATCTTCTTCAGGTTACATTTGTTTTCCACAAATTAAAATCCAGTTTAACGGAGCAAAGTGCACGTTAGATGTGATTCCAGACAGAAGAAGAAGAAATGAATGAAGTGCATGTTTGAGGTCAGAGGTCAGAGGGGTCCTCTGAGGTGTTGGTGTGTCAGAGACGGCTGCAGCAGAACTTTACTCACCAAGCTCAGAAATCTCATGAGAATCAGCGAAGCGCCCTGAAATGAAAGCAGCAGACATTTTAGTTCCTGCAGACATGAAAACTTTTCCCACAGAACTGAGAGACGGAGAAGAAGTTTGTCCTGCAGCAACATGTCAGTTTCCTCCTCAGCCTGAACTCTTCCAGTCGAGCTTTCATCTGGCCGTCTGGCATGATGTGACTGCTGTGATCTGAACCATCCCATTATACCTCAGGCTGGTTGTCCTGCTGGAAGCTGAACCTTGACCCCAGTCTCAGTTATCTACAGGTTTTCTTACAGGACTGTTCTGATTTAGATCTAAGCAGCTTCCCACTGCATGATGCTGACACCACCATGCTTCACATTAGGGATGGTGCGTTCAGGTGATGTTCAGTGTTGGTGCAGTTTGCTTGGACTCCACAAAGTTCCTCAAAACTCATTTTGTCCTTGTTTGGGAATCTTCTTCTTCCTGGGCACCAGCAAATTCATCCTCCAAATTTAAATAAGCACATCTTAATGATGGTTTAATGCTTTTATTAGTTCAACTTTATGAAGTTGTTGCTTTATTTTTATATTTATGTTTGTTAATGGTGTTTTTTTTTCACTTGTGTCTGTTTTATGGATGATTTCTGACAGATGTCAACAACATATTCCCATGTCAGAGATGATGGACGGTGAAATTATCTCATTATAATTAGAAATAAATTGTGCATCTCCTAAAAGTTTAGTAGCTAATAGTTGTTCTGTTGTTGTATTTGGTGGCATCAAAACAAAGATCATTTACAATGACCCTTTTCAAATTCGAAACCATTTATTATTTTCATTCTATTTTACAGTTCTTTGTGTTGGTTTACCACCGAGGTTTGTGGCTGGAATGAGACAACAGGAGCAAAGCTCCAAGGGGTGTGAATACTTTAGGGAGGCTCCTGAGCTGGACTCACCTGCTATCAGGTAGGACAGGGTTCGCACCGTGTTCTCCAGCTGAGCAGTAGCTGCAGGATTCCTCCGAACAAACTCCGTATATCGCTCATAAACGCGACTTAAAGCATCGATTGATTCCTTAAAGTTCGGCATTTCAACTCAAACTAAAACAATAACTCCCTTTTCAGCCGACCGGTTTACATTCGACCTCAGTTTTCTCCACTTTCACATCAGATTTTACAAAAACAAGCAAACTTCCGCGTCTTTTGAGTCTTCTTCTTCTCCTCCTAAAAGTTGCTGTGGTGCCCTCTATCGGATGTAATCCGCTATAGCTTCTGATTTTTGTCACTGCGCAGTCATAAATTGGAATCGCCAAAATAGTTCACATATTGAATTCAGAAATGTAATTTTAAACATAGATCCCCTAAATAATATTTACTTCAGGAAAACACAAAATTAGCATTAAAAAAATCTAAATAAACTAATCTAAGACAAATAAAAAATATTTTTGACAGAAATTATGTAAGTTCTATACATGACATGACAGAATTATGGCGAGGATGGCTCAGGCCTACACATAATAAAATGTTGAGTGGAAGATAAAGGTGGAAAAGTTAAAAATGATTTTTTTTCCTGAAAAACACCAGTTGCGACACATGTGTTAGTGAGTCCGACAGTTATTAGTGTCCTCCGCTACCGGTGTTCTGACACATTGATTCCTGTTTCTGCTTCCGGTCCGGTTATTGTTGCATCAGCATCTCATTCAGACCTGTGGCCATGTCGAGCTCACCGGAGACAGGTGCAGTTTTTACCGCTTATTACCTGTTATTATAATCGATATTTCCTCAGATATGAAGCTGATAAGAAGCAGAGGCAGGTCGGTTTAATGTTTCAGGGGCTGTCAGGCTAAATTAACCTCTGTTAGCTCTGTTAGCAAGCAGCTCGGCTGCATCAGCGGAACTCTGTTTAAGAAACGGTCATTGAAGACTCTTTATGTCAGCGTTTGTGTTCTGTAGAACAAAGAAATGAACAAAGGAAATATAATTTAACAATACCTGAATATTTTCAATTCGGCATAATTATTAAACTAAATAAAGTGTTTCTTAAAACCAAAATCTATAATGTTATTCCGACAGAATTCACTTAAGTGAATTGGGCAGCTGATTGGGAATTTAAACTGAGACTCATACATGAATATGTTTTTATTAATTATGTCCTCAGTTTTCCTTTTCCGCTGCTCAGTTTTAATCTGCTTATGACATTAATCATGACATTAATAAAACATACCCTGTATGTCATATAAAAAGGTTTGTTTCATCCTTTAAAAATATTAACGTCTTCTGCAATCTGCATGATTACTCAAACGTAAATTTTTTCCCCTCCATTTTCAGCTTCAGCATCCTTCATCTCCATGCATGGTTTCTCTTTCATTTTGCTCTGTTGTTGAATCCTCATCTTGTCCATTTCCTGTCTTGAATTTCTCTTTCCTGTTTTCTTTGTGAACGCATCATCTTTTTGTTTTATGAATTTTCTGATCATTTTAGATCTGATCGGCTCCTTTATTTGATTATGGTTCTGTTTAGGGGTTTTTTAAACACATCTTGTTAGGAATCAGCAGATGGTTTGCATCATTTAAACCCAAGTTGACCTCTTAAACCGGTTTCCACTCAGCTCATATTTCAGGGTTTTAATTGTCATGGAAAGTATCACCAGAAGAGTGTCGTTCCCTCCCCCTTATTTTATACATTTTTTGCAGTAAATCTCTCTAAAATCCTGAGAAACATTGATCAGGATGACTTTAGCTGCTTGCTGGACGGTTTTCTGTGAGGAAATGAAGATTTGATCAGAGGTTTTGCTCTGATTCTTTTCTCTCCAGAGGATGAGGACAGTTGCAGCTGCTCGGCTGCTAATGTCTGCCCTCTTGTTTCTGCAGCCTTTGAGTTTGGCTCCTTGCTGCAGATTAACGAGGAGGCCGCGCTGACGGCGGCCCTCAACGACTACCTGACCTCACGCAGCTACCTGGCGGGCTTCGGCCCCTCCCAGGCCGACCTGAGAGCCTTTAGGCTCCTCCCCCGTCCCCCCGCCCCGCAGCACGTCCATGCTCTGCGCTGGTACAGACACATTTCCGCCCTGCAGCAGGACCTGAGCACAGACGGCAGCAGTGAGTAGACGGTTGATGTGACGCAGGTTTCTGGAGAGAAGCATGACCCCACAGTTCCTCTGGAGAGTTTCAGTTAGAGCTCCGGCCTGTGGGTGGCGCTCTGCGGTGCAGCGGCTTATCGCTGCTCAAACAGCTCAGGGTCAGGAACACCTGCAGCCCCAGAAACATCACAGCTGCTGCTTCTGTTTGTCCACTCACTGCATGTTGTCCTACCAGATCGTCGGTCCTTTCTGGAAACTTTTCTTTCAGCTTTTTCTGCTTTTCCTCTTTACTCAGTTACAGCAGCTGCTGTAAAAATCTCTAAAAATAAATAAATCTTTAATGCATCAGCAGAATGTCTCAATGAAAAATTAGTATTGAGGAAAAATTCAAGGCATAACCAATCGGAAACAGATATTTTTACTTGATCAATGAGAGGAAGAATGAGTTACAGTCATCAGACTTCTGAAGGAAATGATCTGGCCTAAATAGTCTTGCACAGATTTAAACACTTAGAACCGTTTGTCCCTTATCTTTACTAACTTTATAGCATATTATAAATGCTATAACGTTTCACTCCAACCGTCAACATGAACCAAACTATGATCTGGAAGTAAAAGGTCAAATGGACAAAAAGTGGAAAAAACAATAAGAATATAATTATAAATCAAAAATAATGTAATCAGTACTTACATGATTCTTAATATAATGAATGAAATGAGTATAAAAGCTGAATGTTAGACGAGTAAAACAAAGATAATAATGCAATGAGTAAAAATTGAGAATTCACCATGACAACCGTTACACAGCAGTTCCTGTCCCACCATCTCAAACGTAAACATGCTGAGTCCGATCAGCCCTGCTGGACCTCCTGCTGGGATGAAGCTGGTTCCACTGCTAAACACGGCGGAGGCTCTGTGATGCTGTGGGATCCGTGTTGGAGTCCACAGCATCAGAACGGGTCGTTCTGTGTCGGAATGCACCGATCGGCCGATACCGATCTGATAGAGAAAAAAAGCTGATTACTTAAACCGATTATTTTATTTAAACACAGACATAAATGAACTGAATTATAAATTAATTTGGTAACTCTGCACCAGCTCACTGGAACACACCAGGAGCTCCACCAGTTTGGTCAAAGATGCAAAAACAACTTTAATCTGTTCAGACAGTCAGGAGAATAACAGCCAATATAAAATAAATAACAATAAAGAAACTGCTAAACATAAACTACAACAAACCTTCTTCCATATGGTTCAGAAAATGCATTTAGAAATTCTAAATATAATGTAAGACAAACATGAAAGCGTAGAATTAGACTGAATAGATTGTCACCGATATCCGATCTAGATTTTATTTTCGATATCTGGTCTGATGCATATATATCAATATCTGATCGGTTCATCTCTAGTTCTGTGTGACGTTCTGCTGATGCAACAAAAGATCAATTCATTTTTACAAAACCTCATGAATCTTCCTGAAAGTTTTCATTTTGCTGTCAAAACTTCCACCTCTTAGTTTTGCAGATATTACATCTAAAATGTGTTTAAACTGAATCAATAAAATCTTTTTAGATGTAAAATATTTGGATGAAACAGGAATCAACCTTTTTTTCATCATGTTTAAACATTTTTCACAAACATCTGAATGATTTCTGCTGTTTTAACGTCAGAAACCAGATTTACCCGAGTTACATTTGAGTAACTTTTGGGGGGAAAAATACAGTTAGGAGGATTTTGCTTCAAGTAAATAACTTCTATTTGAGTAATTTTATTGTGAAGTAGCTCTGCTCTTGTTAGTTTTTGTTAAATTTCATATTCAAAGAAATTTATTTTGATTTAGTTTTTTGTAATTATGATATTCATCTGAATTATTTTCATTTTGGTCTTTAAAATGCCAAACATTCCATATAACTTTATATTTTGGTCTGTCTTTTTAAATATTAAATGATTGATGTTTTGATCAGTTACTCAGTTCTCGATTCACTTTTTTACTTTTTTACTCTTCAGTAATTTCTGGGACGGTTACTTTTTACTTTTACTTGGGTAAAAACAAGCTGAAGTTTTATTTGTGGATCATGTTCGTCTCCTCTGCCACGTCTGGTGTGAAAGTCACTAGTTTCTGCTTTTATTCCAGTGAAGGGGAAGCGGGTCCAGCCTCCATGGTCGCCACCGGCGGGAACAGAAGTCCCTCAGCTGCGGCTCTACAACAGCCTGACCAGAACCAAGGTACGGCGTAGAACCGGTAACTCTGGGCTGCAGAACCCAGCAGCCGCTGCACCTTCAGGTGCTAAAACCTCGGCATGTTCACCTGACCTGGCAGAATATGGTCCATAAATCACTTCACATGTGTAAGAAACTAAAAAATAAGGAGCAGTGGCGGCACTGGGGGGAAGCTGAGGGTGCCAAAGCCCCCTCTGGATAAGGAATGGCGCCCTCATAGCGGCTCCAAAAAAATGCTGTAGTACAATACTGATCCAAACTGAAATATCAGAGTTAATCTGACGTAATGAACAGATGAAAACAGGTTCAAAATGCGAAAACATTCACCTGCCTACAGGTTAAAACTGCAGAATGTAACTTTAATACAAAAAAAATCTGTTAAAACTGTCACCATGTTGAGACTATCTTCCCTGTTATTATTGCATCTGAAGAAATGCAAGAAAAACAACCAATCAGGGCCAGGAGGCGGAGCTTCATGCTGTCAATCATCCTTGTATAGTCACTGCTAAATGTGCTAAAGGTAGAGGAACAACTTACTGCTGCAGAAAAACCACCGTAATCTGATCTGATCTGCTAACAGGACAAACTACAGCGTAGCAGAGAGGAAGAGGAGGATGAGACCGTGTATGCAAGGGTGATTGGCAGCACTAAGACCCGCCCCTTGTTCTGATTGGTTGTTTCTAGTTAGCACTGGGAGAAGGCAGAGGATCTCGCCTTTTTTCACAGATCATCTATCTCATATTGTACTGTCATAACATGGTGACAGTTTTTTTCTGTAATATATATATATATATATATATATATATATATATATATATATCTCGAAGTGGGGAACACCCCCAAAGGTGGTGGAGAATGACCGAGCTAAGATCCTGTGGGACTTCCAGATCCAGACAGACAAGATGGTCAAGGCGAACCAACCGGACATTGTGGTGGTGGATAAAGAACAGAGGAAAGCCGTTGTGGTGGATGTAGCAATACCAAGTGAACATCAGGAAAAAGGAGAAACTGGAGAAATACCAGGGCCTCAGAGAGGAACTGGAGAAGGCCTGGAAGGTGAAGACCACAGTGGTGCCTGTGGTCATCGGGGCCCTCGGGGCGGTCAGCCGCAAACTGGAGCAGTGGCTCAAACAGATCCCAGGAACAACATCAGACATCTCAGTCCAGAAATGTGCAGATAAAGGCACAGCCAAGATACTGCGCAGAACCCTCAAGCTCCCAGGCCTCTGGTAGAGGACCCGAGCTCAGAGGATGAAAGAGAGAGAGAGAGAGAGAGAGACCACCCGCGGAGGGTGAGAAGGGAATTTATATATATATATATATATATATTTTTTTTTTTTTTTTTTTTTTTTTTATTTATAAAAGTTACACAACTAGAGCTTTAAAGGATCCATCAAGAAATTTAGAATTTCTCATTTATTTACATGAATTACAACAAAAATATAGTGGCACAAGGATTTATATCTCACTTTCTCAAATAATCACAACCCAGGACTGGAGTGATTAATCGTGATTAATCACTTTAAGAAATAATCTTCAGCAAATTTGCAAATTGATTAATCATTAACTATACAGTTTACATACTGTAAAAAAAAAAAGACCATTTGATGAAGAAACAAACTCGGAGCAATAATTAAGCCAGAATTATATAAAAAATATAAACATTTTACATTCAAGATTAAAAAATAAACAGGCAACACAGTAACATTTTAAATTAGTCTGTCTGCTGCTAAAGGCCACTAAGTCTAAAAGTCACCTGTGAAGCTGTGAAGTTTTGCTGTAGAAAAACCCCAAATAGAGCGGAAACAGGGCTGGTCCGATCGCTGAGCCCTGAGGAACCCCGCAGCCTCAGCCGGTTCTGTTTAATCGCCGTCTCGTCGTTCCAGGAGCCGTTTGTTCCCCAGAAGGGCAACAAGGTGACGTGGTACTGCTGTGGCCCCACCGTTTACGACGCCTCACACATGGGACACGCCAGGTAACCAGGTCAGAACCAGAAACCCAGAACCAAGCCAGAACCGCTCCGACCTGACCAGCCGCTCCGCCTCTGTTCCAGGTCCTACATCTCCTTCGACATCCTGCGGCGGATCCTGAGGGACTACTTCAAGTACGACGTCCTCTACTGCATGAACATCACAGACATCGACGACAAGGTGAGAATCCACCGGTTCCGAAAGGTTCTGAAGGTTTGAAACGGTCCGACATGCTGCAGGTAAACTGGAACGCCTCATCAGTAATCAAAAAATATTCACCCAGTTTTTTACTGCTTTTAAAAATTGATTCTGATCAACAAAACTTTAATGTCAAAGTGAAAACTGAGATCTACAAAAATTATTTCCAAAATTCCACTTTTGGAATCTTGAAACTGATCAAATTAACTTTGATCAAATTAAACCTCAATGAGTTTTAATTTGTCCTTTTAATTTGTGAAGCAAAAAATAGTTAAATTATTGTTTGTTTTTTTCTCAACAGCAAAGTGAAAAAACAATAATCACCCTGTAAAAATATGGTGATTTTCTGCACTTTTGCAGCTCAATAAGCTAAATTTAATGAGCAAATTAAATCTTTAAATGTTTCTGGACATTTTCTGGATTTTGCTCCTGAAATATTACTGAAGTCACTCAACCAACCAGAACCTCACATTATTTTTAACAAATGCATAATTATGAGTTTGATGCCATTCTTTTTTTGCGGGTGTCTGCTAACAAACGAATGTAGCAGTTGGATGATGCAGGCATCTGGTTCTTCACGGTTTATTCTCCTCCTGGTTCAGATCATCAAACGGGCCCGGCAGAACTTCCTCCTGGAGCAGTACAGAGAGAAGCGGCCGCAGGCGGCTCAGATCCTGCAGGATGTCCTGAATGCACGAGTGGTGAGTCACAGATCGGATCCGGAACGCCGTGGCAGTCCAGTCCGGTCCGGTCCAGTCTGGTCGGGATCAATTTCTTCCTCCATCTCCCTGCAGCCATTCCGGGAGCAGCTGGCCTCCACCACGGACCCGGATAAGAAGCAGATGTTGGAGCGTCTGGACGCCGCCGTTGCCGCCGCTCTGCAGCCCCTGCAGGGGGCGATGGAGAGCAACGCAGCGGCTGACGTGCTGCAGCCTCTGGCTGAGGTGAGACGGCCCGAAACGCTGCAGAACTCCTCGGCTTGCTGCTGCCACAGCTCCTCTGTAACAGTTTGTTTTAATTATTTTCCCAGGTTTTGCTGGAGAACTCGAAGGACTTGCTGTCCGACTGGCTGGACAGGCAGTTTGGAAGCGAAGTCACAGAGAACTCCATCTTCTCCGTCCTGCCGAAGTTCTGGGAGGGGGAGTTCCACAGAGACATGGAGGCCCTGAACGTAAGCCGCAGACTCCGCCCCCTCTGCCCGATCAGCTGGGCGAGAGCTTCATCTCTGTCTCCACGCCCCTCAGGTTCTGCCTGCCGACGTTCTGACCCGAGTCAGTGAGTACGTGCCGGAGATTGTGGCGTTTGTGAGGAAAATCGTCTCCAACGGTTACGGGTGAGGACAGAGCCATCTGAAAGGTTCTCCAGCAGCAGCTGCCTCTGATCCGTTCGGTTCTGGGATGTCTGCAGGTACGAGTCCAACGGGTCCGTCTACTTCGACACACAGAGGTTTGATACCAGTCCGCAGCATTCGTACGGCAAGCTGGTCCCAGAGGCGGTGGGAGACCAGAAGGCACTGCAGGAGGGAGAAGGTAAGGCGGAGAGCTTCACCTGGAGCCGGCACCGTGAGGCGCGTCACCTGGAGCCGGCACCGTGAGGCGCGTCACCGGGAGGCGCGTCACCTGGAGCCGGCACCGGGAGGCGACTCACCTGGAGCCGGCACCGTGAGGCGACTTACCTGGAGCCGGCACCGTGAGGCGCGTCACCGGGAGGCGCGTCACCTGGAGCCGGCACCGGGAGGCGCGTCACCTGGAGCCGGCACCGGGAGGCGACTCACCTGGAGCCGGCACCGGGAGGCGACTCACCTGGAGCCGGCACCGGGAGGCGATGCTACTTGGTGTGGCTAGTGCTAGGAGGCATTGAAACTTGCAGAACTGTTTGTTTATCCATCTGTTCATCTGTCTGTCCATTCCTACGTCCCTCCATCCATCAGGATGTTTTTAAACTCTCATCCCTTCAGCTGCTCCCAGTTTCTGTTCAGACGTCGACCTCCTCACAGTGAATCTCTCTGTTCAGATTAAATCTCGTTTGTCTGTTCCTCTAATTTGGACAAGTAGCGGCCGAATTGTTTCTAATCTCATCTTCATCCTGGTCTTCGTCCTCGTCTTCGTCCTCGTCTTCGTCCTCGTCTTCATCCTCGTCTTCGTCCTCGTCTTCATCCTCGTCTTCATCCTCGTCTTCGTCCTGGTCTTCTCTGCAGGCGATCTGAGCATCTCAGCAGACAGACTGAGTGAGAAGAAGTCCCAGAACGACTTTGCTCTGTGGAAAGCCTCGAAGCCCGGTGAGCCGTCCTGGGATTCTCCGTGGGGGAAGGTGAGCGCCTGCCGCCATTTTCCTCCTGATCCTCATGTTCCACACTTTAATAACGGCGAGTCTGTGTCCTCCTGCGGCGGCAGGGTCGGCCCGGGTGGCACATCGAGTGTTCGGCCATGGCCGGCTCCATCCTGGGAGAGTCCATGGACATCCATGGAGGAGGCTTCGACCTGCGCTTCCCCCATCATGACAACGAGCTGGCCCAGTCCGAGGTCACTTCCTGTTACTTCCTGTCACTTCCTGTCACTTCCTGTCAGTTTCTTGCTCATGTTCTGCTTCCAAACAGCCAAATCTGACACCAGCTCCGCAGAAGGTCGGGTTCATAAATCGATTTTATCAATTTATCAAATTTTTGGTTCCTGAAGATTTAAATTTTGGAACATTTGGATTTTATTTTTTCACTTTTGTACTCATTGTGTTTCCATAAATCAGAGTGACGTCAGGGCGGCCATCTTGTTTTAGAGCATGTTTTACGGCTTCAAAATATAAGTCAGGCTACAATTTATATCTTTAATTACGAGAATTAATTTATAATCTCACAGGAATGCAGAATCAAAATAACACTAAAACAATTTCACAATGGGAGAATGAAACAGTAATTTTATAAAGTTTGCATCTTTATTAAGCTAATATTATGACTATTGTAGCTAAACATAAATTCTCGTACCATTCACAGAAAAAATAACTGAAAAAAACATTTTCAGAAACTATCTTTTAAAAAAGAAGTTAGTTAATAGATGAAAATCAGGAATCAGATCCGTGTAGCAGTGTTTCAGGGACATGTGGATGGTTAAAAAGAATGGATGGTCACTTTCTGCCAAAACAACTCAGAAATTTTGAGATTAATCTTAGATATTTTCAATTAAAAATCGTTGAAATTTCAGTTTGAAATGTTAAATATTAACTGTTTCAACTCAGAAAATTTACAAAAGTGAATTTTTTTACTTTTGAAACTCAGAAAAGTCCCCGTCGTCTTTTCTAGGAAATTTTCTTTAAATTTTTTGCCAGAATTGTTCTGATTGTTTTCTACCTACAGAGACCCTGATGCACCGAAATGAGACAAATATTTCAGATTAATCCGATCCCTGATCAGGGCGGTTCTGTTGGGCGGTTCTGTTTGGCCGTGTTTGAGCCCAGCTGTTTTTTCTTCAGGCGTTCTTCCAGAACGACTGTTGGGTCCGTTACTTCCTGCACACCGGCCACCTGACCATCGCCGGCTGCAAGATGTCCAAGTCTCTGAAAAACTTCATCACCATAAAGGACGCCCTGGCGAAGAACACAGGTGAGTGTTCCTGCGTTGCTAGGCAACCGTGTGCCCGCTGGCGCCCCCTGCTGACGTGAGCTGTTCCCCCCGCAGCGCGCCAGCTGCGCCTGGCCTTCCTCATGCATTCCTGGAAAGACACGCTGGATTACTCGGCCAACACCATGGAGTCGGCCGTCCAGTATGAGAAGTTCATGAACGTAGGTGTCGCCGTCGCTCCGGGCGACTCCCCGCCGCCTCGCCGGGTCTAAAGCTGTTCTCTTCCTGTCCTGCAGGAGTTCTTCCTGAACGTCAAAGACGTCCTGCGTGCGCCGAGCGATCTCACCGGACGCTTCGAGAAGTGGGAGGCAGAGGAGGCGGAGCTTAACAGCAGGTGAGGCATCAGAGGACAGGAAGCAGCTTCAGCCTCAACACACACTCTGCTCCAACAGCACCTGTGTGTGTGTGTTCCAGTTTCTACGACAGGAAGTGGGCCGTTCACCTGGCGCTGTGTGACAACATGGACACGCGCAGCGCCATGGAGGAGATGAGGCTTCTGGTCGGCCTTAGCAACAGCTACATCGCCGGCAGGAAGAGCTCCAAGCTGAGGCCCAACCGCCTGCTGCTGCAGAGCATCGCCTCCTACCTGACCGCCATGATGAAGGTGGTGATGATGATGATGGAGGAGGAAGACCTAAAATAATTAGTTAAAAACACAATAAATGAATTAGGTTATGAATAAATAACTTAATTGCTCAATATTTCTTAATATGTCAATTAATTACATAAATAAATGAATTACTGAAATTATCAATATCCATTTAAATAACTGTAAAAAATGGTTAAAATACTTCATTTTTATGGGGTTTGATTTATTTATTTTATTCCATTGACTTATTTAAATCCATAAACAAAATGTTAATAAAAAATCATGTTCAGAAACCGAAAAACAGTTTCCAGACATAAATACTAAAATCATTTTTGTTCTTGGATTTTTTTCTACTTTTATTCCTTCGTCTTTCATGTTTCTCTTCTCTTACAGTAAATTACATCGTAACATTTTTCGTATTTATAATTTGCTGATTTAAAAGCTGTTTGTGGATCTAGACTAATGGGAATTTTCTGGCTCTCCTCCAGATATTCGGAGCCATCGAAGGATCCGATCCCATCGGTTTTCCAGTCGGAGGACAAGCTGTGGATGTGAGTAAACGGCTGATCTGTTGGGAGAACCCACCCGGAAAAAACCGATTCAGTGACCCGGTTCTGGTCCGATCTTTGCAGCTGGAGAGCACGGTGATGCCCTACCTGGCGGTTCTGTCCGACTTCAGGGAGGACGTCCGGAAAATCGCCCGGGAGCAGAAAGGTGAGGCCCAAACCCGACGTTCCCGATCCCGTCCCGTCTTCCAGAACTGACTGTGTTCTCCCGACCCGTCCAGTGACGGCGCTGCTGCGGCTCTGCGACGCCGTCCGGGACGACACGCTGCCGGAGCTGGGCGTCCGGCTGGAGGACCACGAAGGTGACGCAGCTTTTTAAAACGGGTCCAACAGGAAGTCTGCAGCGGCTCGGGTCAAACTGAGAATCTGTTTCAGGTCAGCCCACCGTGGTGAAGCTGGTGGACAAGGAGACGTTACTGAGGGAGAGAGAGGAGAAGAAGAAGGTCAGGCAAATAAACTCTATGTAACCTTTGTAAAAAATAAGTTTTTACATGTCGTCTGTGTCTCGTGTTTATGAGACAGATAACCTGCACTGCAAAAACAAACTCTTACCAAGTCATTTGGTCCAAACTACTGTACTAACTTATAAACAGAGCTGAGCAGAAACCTCAAGTAAGAGGAGAATCACTTTACATTTTTACTAAAGTAAAGAGAATCCATCCAAAACATTAAGAGTAAAAAGTCTTCTCTAGTGCTGACCAACGGATCAAATTATCAGTCATTTAATATTTAAAATGATTGATATGAAGTTAAATAGAAATTTATATCAATCTTTATGTAACGTTAAGTAGAATTTGATAATAATTTATATAAATTACAAAAACTAACAATCAGGCCAAAGGAAATGTTTCTAAATCCGTTTCTTTCAATAAAAAACTTATAACAAGGTTATTTTTCATTCACTGGGTAGAAAATCCAGAAATTATACTGAATCAGGAGAAGAGATACTTCATAATGAAATTACTGAAGTGAAAGTAAAAAGTGCAGCGTAGTAAAAAATACTCAAGTAAATGTAACTAGTTACTACCTGGTTCTGCTAATAAGTAGCTTGTTTTAATAAATAAGACCTTCAGATTGATGGAGGTTCCTGATCCACAGGCAGACGGTTTGTTAGAATGAATTCATCTGCCAAACTAACGGCATTCATGGCCGACTGATCATGACCGATAATTATCAGGTTATTGGTTATTCTGATGATCATAAAAAAATCACATTCTGTAGATTCTTCAGTTAAGCCGTTTATGCAATATTAGAAATACATTAAAAAATGCAAATGGGTTGTGCTGTGGTGGCGCAGGGGTTCAGCACAACCCACATATGGAGGCCTCAGGCCTCGACGCAGCCGTCGCAGGTTCGATTCCCGGCCCTGCCGACCCTTGCTGCATGTCTTCCCCCGTCTCTCGTTACCCACTTTCCTGTTAATTAACTAACAAATAAAGGCCAAAAGAGCTAAAAAAAATAAAAGTGTATTAAAAGATGCAAATAAACTAACAATTAAATTTATTTTTTAAATTAGAAAATAGCCATTTTATGACTAAAAGTCACTAACAACAACAAAATGTTTAGTTTCTGCTCTGACTGTGGTGTTTGTTCAGGAACTTTCCAGTTTTCAGCCTTATGCTCCAGTTAACGATTAATCAGTAACTAAATCAGTTGATGATTATTAATGTGACGATCGCTCCAGACCTGAAGCAGAGTAAAAATGAAAGAGTGAATCGGTTCTTCACTGAATAATACAGTTTGAACTGATGATTTTGAAACTTTTCCTTCGTTCCCAGATGGAGGAGGAGAAGAAGCGGAAGAAGGAGGAAGCTGCCAGGAAGAAGCAGGAGCAGGAGGTCCGTCGGACATTTTGAATCGGTTGGATTCACCCTCTCGTTCGCCCAATAATCACTTTGCTCTCTCTCTTTCAGATGGCGAAACTCGCCAAGATGAAAGTCCCTCCGTGTGAGATGTTTCGCTCAGAAACAGACAAATATTCCAGGTTTGACGATACGGTAAGTGGAACATTCACACTCCTTCCAAACAAAGCCAAAAAGGTTTTGGTTCATTTGAAGATGTTTTGAGTGTTTGTTCTGAAAACCCGGCATCTGTCCCGTTTCCCTCCCCTCAGGGTTTTCCCACTCATGACGCTGAAGGAAAGGAGCTGAGCAAAGGCCAAGCCAAGAAGCTGCGGAAGCTGTTCGAGGCTCAGGAAAAGCTCCACAGCGAGTATCTGCAGATGAACGGGAACTGAGAGTCCACTTCCCTCTGACGCAGCTTCAGCAGGGACTCGGAAAACAGCGAACTCGGTTTTATTCTCCTCTGATCAGATCCAGAAAGGTGTGGAAGAAGGGACGTTTTCTCCATCAGCAGAACCCGGCTGCCACTGCCGCTTCGTTTCCAGACTGGGATCAAACTCATGAACTTCATCTGTGACGGTTTCCATCATGCATTCCTATCAGCCGTTCATTCATTCATTCATCCGTCTGTAAACGGATTCAAACAAACTGCAACGCCGAGTTTCCAACAGACGAGGAAACTGGAGTCAGGAAAACCTGGGAAGCTGAACCCAAACCCTCTTCACATCTAACCAGACTGGTGGAAAATTTCATTTGTGCTGCTTTTGCTTTGAACATATTAATAAAAGTTTAAAGGTCAAAAGGTCAACCAGCCCCCCCATATTCCTCAAATCAAACTAAATTGGTGCCAATGTTATGTTTGTGCGGCTATCATTCAAAATATATTAATAAATGTTTCCAGAGGTCATCAGAGGTCAACCAGGGGCCGCTCCAAAACTAAACAAATTTGGTGTCAGTCAAATCCGTTTCTTTTTGCTGCTTTGTCGTAATTATTTTTAGTTTTTCCCACTATAGTTTTAAAGATATAAATAAATGTTTCCAGAGGTCAGCCAGCTCCTCCACCTTCCTCAAACCTAATAATTGGTGTCAAACATTTGTATTATATTTTTATTAATATATTTAAAATGATTACAGTGCCTATCGTTAGCTGGAGATGGGCACCAGCAGCCCTCCCGACCCCACTAAGGGACAAGGGAGTAAAGGAAATGGATGGATGGATTAAAATGATAGCAGCACAAATGTTTGACAACAATAGATTTGGGTAATGTGGGCGGGGCTGGTTGACCTTTTGACCTCTGTCAGTGATATCTTTAAGCAGCATAAATGTAGTGGAGCTGATTGACAGCAGGTTCGACTGATTTGAGGAAAATGGGGGGTGGAGGGTTGAACATTCATGACTTCTGGAAACATTTATTATTTGAAAAGATAGCAGCACAAACGTTTGACACTAATTTGATTAGATTTGAAAAAGGCGGAGGGGGAAACTCACTCAGGATTTGTTGTCAGAAAAGCTTCCAAGTTTTCATGTTAGTTGTGGAAAAACGTTCCCAGGATAAAAGCGTCCTGTTGGGAATAAGATGGATAATAACGGCTTTCCACATGTCCAGGCCCGTTTTTCTCCAGTCCTTGTCCCAGTGTTGTCTCTGTGAAAACGGACTGAGTTTGTATTTGTTGTGGTCCTGCCGATAAATCCCAGGATGTTCGGATCGCAGGATCCTGGGAACATCAGTAGATCTGACAGGAAGAGCCAGGCTTTTTTAATCAACCATCCATCCATTACTGCTTGTATTTTTCTACTGATTTATTAGAAACTCGTGGTTCTGTGAAGGTGCAGCTGCAGGTTGTGAAGAAGATGCTCTAATAAAACCAATCAGACGCAGGTGGTGTCTTTATTTCAGACAATACAGATTCATTCAGATCAGAAGCATCATTCAGAAACTCCTCAAGAATAATTTATTTTCATGTATCCAACAGTTGAGGAATAATCTGAGTCGGATGTAATTTGCTCCACACGCAGGTCACTGACAATCCAAGACACATCTGGGAACCAAAAAAATATTGTTTTGAGATTACTATGAAACTTTAAACTTTAAATAAAGTTGTACTAAATAGATATTTTAATTTTTTTGTTTTTACTAAAATTGCAAAAAATTTAATTTTGTAGTATTTCTGAATATAAATCAGGTTCTGCCTCTTTCCCTGGTTAAAACAAAACAGCAGCACATGATGTTCTGATGTTTCAAATGATGATCTAGATTTTTATGAATTTTTTTCTGCTTCATTTCAGAGTTCATTAAATTCACGTTCAAATGCAGACTGAAAAAAATTATACGTTGTGTTGCACCTTAGAAGTTCCCCATTTTAGGAACATAGTTTAGTCTACATCTTTATTTTTAAAAAGATTAAATTTGAACCGTTTTATCTGCACCAAATTGCCTTTTTAAGTTTTTATGTATTAATGCACATTTAACTGTTTAACCCAGAAACGCATCAGACACAAGCCTACAATTTATGTTTGAGTGAGAGCTCTTGTTTACACACACCAGCTTTGTTGCTTTGCACTGTTCTAATTTATGTACATTAGCAACTGAAAGTACAGGTTTCACAGGCTTTTTGTTGTGAAAAACAGATTTTAACATGATTATTACTTTGTGATAATGTGATATATTTTTACAATTTCTTTATATATATACATATTGAAGTTCTGTTGATCTTCTGTAGTAGATTTCGCTACTAGTGTTAAGTATTTCTGCTGTTTACCTATCTGATTTCGACTTCTTATTCTTAGCCAATCAGCGGCCTCCTAGCCTCAGCTGCAGCCAATGAGCGGCCTCTTAGCCTAAGCCATAGCCAATCAGATTCCCCACAGCGCTATTTGAACGTCCTGCATGAATCGTGTTCTGTAGTTTCAGCTGCTGTGGATCTTCTCCGGTTCTGATTCTAGTTTTCAGGATTTTATCTCGACATGTCCGCTGTGGGGCTTCGAGCTGCGGTGAGTTAACATGTCTCCGTCTGTCTCCGTGTCTCTGTCCTCGTTGTCCAACATGTCTCGGTTTGTTGCAGCCGCTGCAGGCCGCAGAGGAGCCTCTGAAGAAGGGGAAAATCTCCGCAGTGGCTCCGAGGAGAGCTGCTCTTGTGGAGATCACCAACAACACCGGAGCTTTGGCTGACACCAAGGTAACACTCCGGGACCAGAACCCGCTGGTTCTGGGTCCAAACCGGCTGAAATTTTGGGTCTTTGAATCGTGTGTCGTTATGGTAACCTAATTGAATTCGTCAGGTAATGGAGGTCAACGTCCCAAAGCCTAATAAACCGATGTTTTGGCCTTTGACTTGTAGGTGACCCGGATATAGACCTAAATGTTTGCTCTGTTGGTTTTTAAACCACGAGCTCTTAAAAATAAGCTTTATTACAAACGTGACGTTTGTAGAAGTTTTCTTAATGCATTTAGATGGGCTGGGGAGAAGGAATGTTTCCTACGTCGTTTTGTCAGATTATTTCTTTGAGCAATCTCGGGCATAAACAATTAAAATCATTCTTGCGTTTCTTTCTGCTGTCCTATTTAAGCTAACCGATAAAGGAAAATCTTCACCTAATTGAGAACAGGTGTATGCGTTTGAATTATTGGAATAAATTAAAGAAGTTTTGATTGAGGAGATTGTTCAATTTGGTGAGGGCGGGAAAACGCATCAAAAGTTCACCTCCAAAATGCTAAAAGTGGCGCAATATATTTATTTTCTGTGCTTTGCATCAATAAAGTCCTCAACTGTCCATGGATCCAGGAAAGTCAACCGATTCTGGCTGTAGATGGAGTCAATCCCGATCTTTATGTCATTTCTAGATTTATGTTGGGGCATCTTGAAATGGCAAATTTGTTGTTCTAGAATCAGCTTTATTGGCAACGATTGTGGTAGAAATGAGGAATTTCGGTTTAAATCTGTTTTTCAGAGGACGGGAGCAACCAAGAAGTCCTCCAAGCCGTCCTGCTCCCAGAAACCCAGCCGGCTCCCGGAGGCCGAGGCCCGGCTCCCGGAGCCGCTCCCGGCTCTTCCAGAGGATCCGTCCCTGGAGGTGGAGCGGGAACTGTGCCTTGCTTTCTCCGAGACGCTGCTGCCGGTGCCGGACGTGGATGAGCAGGACGCCGCGGAGCCGCAGCTCTGCTCTCACTACGTCAAAGACATCTACGCCTACCTGCGGAGTCTGGAGGTAACTTCCTTCCTCCTGCTCTGACCCGGAATGCAACTCTTGCTTTCTGAAGTGTTTGCGGAGGCGCTCCTGTTTTATACGTTACATCATTTATACACAAACAGCTGTTGAATGTAGAAAATTCTGACTAGAAGTCATTTTGTTTTTTTGGCGCCCATTATGCTGCATATAGCGCACAGCCACATTTTGCGCCACTGGCTCTGACCTCTGACCCAGTGACGCACAGGGAGTTGAATATCCAAATTGAAAATCCAGTACAGGAATTTCTCATTTACTTTTGGCCTTAATTGATTGAAGCTTTAATAAATTCTGTAAAATTTAACGATGGCAAGAAAAATAAGATTTACCTTTAAATGAAAAATCATATTTTTTAATGAAACCTGTCCTTCTCCATGAATATGTTTAAAACATTGACAGAAAAATCTTTTCACTTAGTTTTTAAAAATCCTGCAACTTAATTGGAGATGAAAAACCTGGACCGGTTTTGCTGTTTTCCTGTAATTCTGTTTTTAAAGCGTAGAAGAAGAGCACCTGTTGTGCCCATGTGGCTCAGCACTGCCCCCTATCAGTGAGGCATTGTACTTTCTGCCTCATATTTATGGCCGGAGACTAAATGTCACTAACATTCATTAAATATATTGCTGTGGAACGCCAATATTTGTAGAAAATGTATAATTAAACATGTATGTTGGTGCTCTGAAGAGCAGCAATGGGCATGCTCAAACTGCATGCATGCATGCGCATATATATATTATTATTATTATTTTTTAAACCCTAAAAATGTTGCTCAACATTAAAAAAAACAAACTTAAAAATCCAGTGGAAATTTTTTCACTATGTACCCGTTTTCTCACCAAACTGCTATGACCTCTGACCCCTGGCATGTCTCCAGGTGCAGCAGGCCATCCGGGCCGACTACCTGAAGGGGTCAGAGGTCACATCAGCCATGAGGGCAATCCTGGTGGACTGGTTGATCCAGGTCCACTCCCGCTTCCAGCTGCTGCAGGAGACGCTGTACCTCACCGTGGCCGTTCTGGACCGCTTCCTGCAGGTGAGCCGGACCTGCACCAGAACCTCCTCCCGCCTCCAGGTCTGACGCTCTGCTGCTTCCACAGGTCCAGCCAGTGTCCCGCAGGAAGCTGCAGCTGGTGGGTGTGGCCGCCATGCTGGTGGCCTGTAAGTACGAGGAGATGTTCTGCCCGGAGGTGGGAGACTTCGCCTACATCACGGATGATGCCTTCAGCAAGGCCCAGATCCTGGAGATGGAGCAGCTGGTGCTGAGGAGGCTCGGCTTCCAGCTGGGGCGCCCGCTGCCGCTGCACTTCCTGCGCCGAGCCTCCAAGGTGGCAAATGTAAGTCTGGAGCTGCAGGGGATTCTGGTAAAACTCCTGATCGGTCCATCGCTTCCAGACTTCATGTAGCGGCGCTCCGATAAACTGACAGCTGTCTGAGTATCAGGAGCCTGTCGCCATAACGATGTCTCTGGGTGACAAACTGTCCCAGAAATGATTGTGGTTTTTCTTTTTGGAGACCATTTTCAGCTCATAATGCTAGAACACCCTCTCAGATAAAACTTAATTTCTTAGGATTTAACTTTTTTA